AACCAAGAAGTGTGTTTATTTCTTACACAATAGGCTTGATTCTTCTCCTGAAGACTAACAGAATAAGACTTGGTTCCCACATTCTTGATCCTAGAGATATGGCACGCACAGTAAGAAGTGCTAAACAAAACCTGCATTCTCTATGTGAGATATGAGGAAGAGAAAGCAGAAAAAGAAATAACAAAAAATCCAAAACAAAACAAGAAAGAAAAAGCAATAGGATGGACTGAGAATACTGTACAAGTTCCCAAGGGTATTTGGCTCCTGTTTCAGCACATACAATATTTAGATACCTTCACAGAATTGAGCTATAGTCAACTCTGTGATTCTCTGCAGCAATAGCATTGCACAGTGTTTAGTCAGCTTCCTGGTATGCATCTCACAAAGAACCAAAACACACAAGACTAAGATCGTAAAGATAACGATTAGAGTCTTCCTCTTGTAAACTCCTGGGTGACTTCTTAACTGTTCACTGAAAACAAACAAACAAACAAAAAAATCACAGTGAATGAAAAAAAAACCAAAGACTTCTACTATATGGTGAACGGCACATTCACGACAAGGCAGCTTAAAACGTCAGTGAAACAGGTGAATGCCTGCATACAGCTGACTATAGGGCTGACTATAGAGTGCAGAGTAGCCTTTATATGTTTGGTTAGAGCTCCCTTTCAAACCAAGTCATTCTCAGTCTAATTCTATGTACCTGAATGCTTCAAGTTGGGTGACTGAAGGAAAGATTTTCATACAACTAACTTACTCAAGAGCACATGATATATCAAGGGAGGAGCATATTAGCAGGACCAGGGAAAATCTGGCAAGGAAAAGCTGGCAGTATGGTAGTGGAAACAGATGGTCTGCAGGCAAAAAACCTAACATGATTAAGAGAAAGTATTGTTAATAGGGTTACACTTCTAAAGGAGGATTCTGCCAAAACCAGCACAAAACAGTAGTTATTAAAAACGTGATATAAGCGATCACATTAGATTAAAAATCATTGTCTCTCAGATAAAAATGTGAGCACCAAGCATGTGTTTGTTTCTACTCCATTACAATATGAATGAAGACTGAACATAAACTGCTATTTGAGATACCTATGAAATCTACAGAGCAAAGGTGATGAAAAGCAAAGGAAGAAGTGGGGAAAGAAAGTAATGGAAATATCACAGCTGGATGTGACTTGCTGGTAATTCTCAAACCAGTACTCCAACTATTAACAACTGAAAACCAAAATACATTAGGGTCAGAGTTATCCCACATAACATTGATCACTTGCCGTGTCCAGCATAAGATACATGCACATATTGCTTCTTTAGATAATAGAGACAGACATGTGTCTCCTGAGGGTGACATCTCTTCCCCAAAAGCAGCTGTCTGAGATAGAGATGTGGCTAGGCTGAGGTTCTTAGGTCCCCTTTTAAAGTCACTGAATGCCCTGGTTTAGTCTTCAAAAGTGATAGTGACCTGCTGACACATCTTCACATTCAAGGGGCTACTGAACATTCACTAAAGATGATAATTTCTAGGAGTGCATAACAATTTACATATCTGTGCAGATCTTAGCCTCACTTTTTTTAAAAGCTAACTACAGTATGAGAAGATGCAACACTTTAGACTCTTTACCCCAGTTAGTAAACTGATATTAGGCTCAGCACTCTGTTCTCTGCATATTTCTTTTCCTTCAGCAGAGTTGCTGACATGAAACAGGGTATATACAACAATTCCTTCAGTAAAAATTTCTTGACCTTGTTAAAAATTAAGAAAACTATCTCATTCAGCAATTGTTTAGGAGCTGTGCTAGAGCAGGCCCTGACTTTGCCTCCTGCTGTGCGTGAGCAGCCTCAGGTGTCCCCTCACCTCTCTGTGCCCCAGCCGCTGTATTGGTAAAACGGGGGCCGGCAGCTCTGCATCAGTGGGGGCCAAGGGGCTTAGGAGAGCCCTCACTCCTCAAGCAGGAGCTTGCTGTTGCTGCCCTCTGTGTCCCAGCCTCTTCTCACGTCATATAGGAAGCCTAGGAGACTAACTCTAAGCCTCTGGTTTTCTGAGTGTCAGCAGGCTCCAAAGGTTAAACGCCAATACAGCTCCACATCCATACCTGCAATATTCACTGTCTGCACCTGCCTTCTCTCAGCAGAGTTCATGTGTCAAACCTGAGATGTGGAGGGGAGGAGAAGGGGCAGCTTTTATGGTGCACACAACATCGTACCAGGAGCCAAGGGGCTTGGTAAGCATCACGGTAAAGTTAGTCATCTTTATCCACAATTCAGACTTTACAAACAATTAAAGAACTCCATAATCATACTGTTCATTTACTCTGTGGATGTATCACAATCTGAAAATGATCATTCTACTCCACAATGCCTTGAAAGCAGCCTGTGATGAGTGAGCCATACAAGAGGCTGTCAAGCCCCAGGACAAGTATCATTAGCATTCAACTTACCCAGAGCTGAGAAGCAGTAATAGGATGAGTACTTTGGGCACTTATTAGATGTCTTTTTAATATGACTTACCAGCAAGAAAACAGAAAGGCTAAATATCTGATGATCTTGCACTAAGTTTTTGCCACAGCACAAAGGCAGTGCATTCTGGTGTTAGAATGCATGCAAAACAAGCCTTATACAACATTAGAATATCAGAGATCACCAAACATCAACAGACTGAGCTGTGGGACCCCAGCCCACAAAACTCCTCTCCAAAACACAGACTTCACTGGACATAAGCCAGCTACATGGAACGACAGCCCAGGAGGCCACAGCAAATAAGAACTACAGAGAGGGGGAAAATTTGCCACATGGAAATTTTTCCATCCCACTTTAAAAATGATGCAAAACTGGAGAAGCAACAGGCTTTCTAACAACATCTCCGGTATGAATCTACGACCTTCAGAAGCTTCTGTGGGAAGGACTGACATTTTCTGAGCTGGCTCATGCTCAATACAGCTGGTGACCCGCCTCTCAAAGCTGTAGACTGTGAGTATATACATACATCTCCTCTCTTAATGGGGAGAAAACTTCTCTGTACCATCAATAACAAAGTTTCTATCTTGCATCTCAAAGCTGACATGAACCAAGAAGATTATCTCATTCAAGGAGTAATTTCAAGCAGTGTTCAGCAAAACACCAGGCTGCTACAGTGCTTGGACACAAACTTAATATAGATTTCGTAGTAGTGCTGCTGAGGTCAGTACAGTTACCCCCTCTCTGTGGCATCAGGCATGTCCTGCAGGGGTTCTGGTGAAAGCTTTGGCTTCCATTTTGTTGCAACTTCATTAGTGTTGCAAGTGGGTTTAGCAGGCATTCAAGTAAAGCAGCGAGTACATTACACCTGCTGTTTATATTTGACATTGCTTTTCTCTGGGTTGCATAGTATATATAGGGCGAAAGACTCAAAGCGAAAGGAACACAGAATGTGTGTGGATATACAAGTAAACCAGTGTATTGTGTACCTGCAAGACCTACAGACTCTTCTGAGGTTACAGACCAGCCGTTACAGCCTAGAAGTCAAGTGTTTGAGCTCAGTTCTTAGCCTGAGCTTAATTTGCCCGAGGAATCTTAGGGAATTGCCTTCCACATGCTGTGTTTCCCCATGCAAAGCAATTTACATTGATGTTACCAAGAATTTGGAAAACTGGAAGTAACCAGCTAAGGCGAGGCCTGGAGATAAGAGTAGGGGGAACTTCAGAGGCATCTGAATGGACACTTGCTCCAGGCTTTGCACTGACAGCTATTCTGCACCACTGCCTTGCAGGCTCAGGCACTCAGCAGCCTGGTTCTTACCTATTCACAACAGGCCCAGCTGGGTCTCCATGGGCCTAGCAAAGCATGGCTCTTTCTACAGGCCACAGAAGTGCTCCAGAGTGAAAAGCATGAGAGATTTCTGCTCAGATGCTCTGGACAATGATGCCAGCTCAGGTGCTGCTTTGTGTGTGGCCTGGAGGTCCACAGCTTGATCAAAAAATACTTGCAGGAGCAAAGCCACTGGCATGTAGCCATGCTGTCCACCAACTCAGACCACCTTACCACAACATAGAAAGGACACCTAAAACTGAGTAATAGGACTAGCACAGACTGCAAGAAAAAACACTTCTGATAGAGGTACAATTGGAACAAGTTGACAGACCTGTTATCAACACCATGTTTACATGGAAGTGCAATGAACTTTTTTCTTCATTCCTATAAATTATGCCTCTCTGATTGCCTGGTTACTTTCTTGGGCTCCATTCTTTATACTAGAAAGACCACACCACACACACAAAAAAACCCCAAACAAACAAACAAAAAAAAACCCAAACCCAACAACAACAACAAAAAAACCTGAAACACTAAAAACTTTATAAACTCTTATTCCTCTTTGAAACCACTGTATTTTATGTCATGCCTGACAGGCAGGAGGGTTAGTAGATCTGGCTCTGTATGTAGAATTGCATTTACTCTTCCTTCCCTCAGCACATAGTGATGTCAGCTTTGGCCATATCAAATCACAGAAAAAACAGAAGAGTTTTGACGAGCTCCACCGCACATAGGAAATAGGAGTGATGCCCCTCCAAAGCTATGTGTTAAAGTGACCAACTATCTACAGCCACTATGGAAAAAGCCAAGGCGTTCCTGTTTCCATCATCTATTAGCTCACAGTTCCTCTTTTAAGTGGTCCATTGGTCAAAGAGGTAACTCTGAATGTTACTCTGTACCTCTGCGGTGTGGCTTAGCTATGGCTCTCTAAATTGAGGTGTAAAAGGACAGGAACATCTATTAAAGGTTTCCACTACAGAACAAGAGCTCTCACTTTTTGCAGTTTGAAATAAACCCCACTCACAACACAGAAGCAAGTGCAACCACAGCAGGGTTTGAGCAGGAAAAGCCTTCACAGGGGGGGCTAGTGAAGGACCGGGGTGGGAAAGGAGGTGGTTTTCTGTCACCAGAAAACAGTACTGCCACTCAATTTTTTCCATTTATAGTCAGCCCCCCCATGACGCCCTAAAAGTGAACACAAGAACTGACCACTGAATGACAACATATAAACTCTGTGAAAGAGGGCTGACAATAGCCACTTTCTTCTCCACCTTGACAAAGAAGCCACCAGCAATGAAACTCCACGCTGCAGCTATCCTCGTCATCTTCTGGCTTGGCATCTTCACTGTCCACACAGTGAAAGGTAAGTTTACAACCCAAGAGGAAGACAGCAATTGCTCCACATTGCACCAGTGGTCTGATGAGCAGGATTCATTATCAGCCAGAGCTGAGTCATAAGATAAAACCTGCAAGAAATCCAGATCAGAACTGCAAGAAAGGCAGCTTTATAATGGATTTCATCTGATGTCCTGTCAGTTCGTGGTTGCCTTTTGCCTTAATGCAAGGGGAGTTTCTCTACCTTAGAACACTTAAAGGGTTTCTATGCAGTATTCTCTCTCTTAAAATCATGAAATCTTGAAGATACAATGTCTTTTAATCTCACTGTTGCCAAATAGCAATGAGTTCTATAGGTTAATAACATTTTATGAAAAATATTTCTTGATAAGTTGTACTTTTTTTTCCAGATATACTTTTATATGTATATGTATTTTTATTATTTTTTATTTGTCTTTCTCTAACTATATATCCTTAATTCCTCTTATGTCCCTATTTTAAACAGTTCTTACTGTTCTGTATCACATATTGCCTATTTGCTTGTTTCTAGCCAAATATTTATGTACAGACTGGCAAACTATGAACATGAACAAAAACTGCAAAGGAAAGCAATGAATTTATACAATGTCTTCTCTCTCTTCCTGATTTTGCACAATTTAACATCTTGTTTGAGACCATTTATGAGCACTGAGATGAACCATGTTTGTTAGCCATGCTTTAAATAAGTTTGTCTACAGTGATATTTAGGTCTGTGGCTTTTGGATTAGGCCATGTGTATCATGCAATAATATGAACATACACACATGAGCACATGCCTTCTTATACACAATCAAATTCACAGAAACAAGCACATAAAAATCACAGAAAACACTCATATGCAAGCCATATGCAAACCCACAGAAATATGCAAAGAGAAACACAGAGAAAAGCCATCTTCACAAAACCACACCAAAACCAAACTGAGAACTGCTAAGCATTCACAAGATTATGTAGCTACACACTTAGTATGTTGACCTAGTGAGTATGTTGACCTAGCACTAGATCATACTACATTCTCATATGCTGATTAACACTACTGCTGTTCATGTCAGCAACATGTGGCTTCGTATCACAGACGGCAAATTCGTAATGTCATTCTCCAGGTTGTATAATTTGACATAAATATCACCGTCTGAAAAGGTACACTGAGGTGGTGTGCAAGGGATAGAAAAAGGATTTGAAAGAAAAAATATTAAAAACAAAAAACAAACAAACCAAAAAAAACCAAAACAAAACTAAACAAAACAAAAAGGTAGTTATAGGTGCAGATCAGTTTGGTTTTGTTCCCAGGCTTAGAGAAGCTCTGCTGGTATTCCCTGCATGCTTTTCCTGGAGATAGTTTAGTAGTATCTTTCCAGGACTAGTAAGGGTTGCTTGACTATATTTGAGCTTTTTAATGCCATGTGTTGAAAATCAGCCTGACTGCAGCAGTAAGATACAGATTTATAATGAATCATCAAAAAATACACTGTGTTACTCACGACTAAAGCGAGATCAGAAGACATATTCCTTACAGGCAAACAAAATCTCAAGAATTAGCGACTCTGCCAGTACCTGGGCCCTGGCTATGCTACAGTTTCTCCAAAGGCTGATATGTGTTTGCCTCAGCTGTTCCAATTATTTCAAACAAAGAAAAGCTCACAGCTAATGAGCTTATATGAGGCAGGTTCTCAAGCCAGTTTCTCTATATTTAAAAAGAAACCTCAGAATACAGCAGTGTTCTCTTTGTCCCCCTCATGCCTTCCCAAACCTGTCTTTGGTGGGTGGGAAAAAAACAGAAATTAGCAAGCAGAGGTTTCCAGTAATGTATACATCATCTCACTTAAATGAGCTCCCATTTTTAGTTATCATCATGTAAGGTAACAACTGCCCAGAGAATTCTACACTGATATCACAATCTTCTTTATTCATCACCAGTGCATTTCCCTGAACTATATGAAAATGTTGAAGGAAAGAGGATTAAGTAGCACTCCATTGCCTGTGAAACCAAACTTATAGAAAGAATATGCAAGTACTTAGTCTTCTGGCAGATATACCTCCCTTTCTTTCAACAATCTTTTTTTAATGCTAGTTTTGGATGTCCAATGTGAGACAAGTAGCCTTGCTTTCCTTTCCTTCACTTCGAAAGTAGGGGGAATTACTGATCCACATTCAGGTGGCACTTGGAAATGCACCCAGTAAAGGTGCCAGTTCTAAGCTCTAGTCTATATGGACACTTATTTGCAGATAATACAGACCTAATTATGAATGATGCCAAATACCTTTTCTGCTATGGAAGCAGTGACTCCCTAGGGGCAGAGTGACTGTAAAATTGTTCAGGAGAAAGATGGAGATTAGTTTCTTAACTGAAATAACAGTAACACTTTAGAGATAGTAGGATGCGTCAAAAAAAATACCTTAAGCTCTCTTGTATAACTGGTATTGTGGCTGCACATCACAAGACACTCATATTCTAATCACAACTGGAAATCTGCTGGAAATCATAATTTATTAAGTAATTATGGCTAAATATGAATATAGTATTGATTCCCTTTATCATTTATCTGTTTTTCCCCTTCTAGGGAGCGTTGGAAGTCAGCCCATGCGCAAATTCAGTTGTGTAAGTCTGTCTACACAGCAACTGAACATCCGAAAGCTTGTCAGCTATGAAAAGCAACAAGTTCCAGTAAAAGCCATCATGTAAGTAACCAGTCCACAGTTCACCTTCAGACTCGTCTATGCAGACACACCACCATCGAAAAGGGAAAGGGGATCATCATGGTCCAACTCACTAGGTCTGGCTAGTTCAGGTCACCCTTCCAGTTCCCCCATGAAGCAGCCACTTGGCAGTTGAGGGAGTGAGGAGAGAGGGGTGGGCCTCAGAGAGCTGGGAGATGTATGCTGCTCACAAACACTGGCAGAAATCCCACTGAACAGACAGATCTTTAGTGCCTAGAAAATGGGGAAAAATCTCAGCGAGGGGTCAGGGTGGAGCCGTCAGAAGCCCAGTGCACTGAATTGAACTAAGGGGAAAGATCACGTGGAAGAGTTTGGGGTAACCCTGACTCCTGCTAGGAGATGTTTGGTCTTTTGATCTCATGAGCATGCATATTTATCAAATCTGGGGTCTGTAAATATGCATCATGATTTAATAGAAAACCTCAGAATACTAGGTATGCTCCTTTTCTTACGTGTCTGTATATTTGCACATGACCATGTATGTTACATACATACCTATGTCATAAATAGGGAACTACTGTCACTAACTGCTGTTACCAACTAACAACTACAAACCCCAGCATATTATATGGTTTTACCACATGGTTCCTCATGTTCTGCATAAAACCTAAGAACAGTAAACCTGGGTTTGGAGACTGGAATTTAATGGCCACCTGGTTTGCTTTCTCTCTTCTTATAGGTTTATCACCACAAAAGGTATCAAGATCTGCGTAAGCCCTGATCAGAAATGGGTGCAGGCTGCTATAAAGAAAATAGACCAGAAACGTACCACCAACGGCAAATAATCCTGTCCTAGGCAAGCATCTAAGAGCAAGTAAATGGAATCAACATCAGTGCTGCACATAACAGGGAAGAAAGCCTTAGTATCTGCTTTTAATTCCTACATATTAATGGCAATAAAATCTCTGATCAAACATGAACTCACCAGAATCTGTTCATCACTGGCTGAACATCTGCTGACTTCTTCATTTTATAGCTGGACTATGTTACGCTGTTTATTTTCTGGAATGCTTGCTAGTATTTATTTACAACTGAATGTAGATCTTCTCATCCTTGCTGTCCTGACCAGTATGGCATTTAAGGGTGAATGGCAGTTAGTTTCACATACTGTAGGGAAGATGACCTCCCACAGAGCTGGATGAGAGTAGACCTCCACCCCGATGGAGGTCAGAATGTTCTGCATTGAGTGCTGGGTTGGAGAAGGTGCTATATAATTTAATGGTTACTCATACCTATATAATCTATAAGTAAACTAATCTCATGCTTTAGGCTATCACCTCATCAGTGCAATATTCAGAAGATCATCCTTGGGCCTTATGTTTTTATATGCAGTATTACACTTTTAGCTCAGTCCACAATGATGTGCGGATACTCTCCTCAAGGGATGACCTGGAGTAATTCAGTGTAACCTCTATGAATGTAACCCTATTCAGCCTTGTACCGGGGAAGACATCATACCCCACTGACTTCTGTGAAGTTACTTCAGTTTCAACCTCATGTGAGACAAACCTGAAACAATTGTCTTACTTCTTCCTTTGCTTTTTTCTGAATAAGCAAGAACAAACCATGTCTAGAATCTGTATTTCACAAACTCATAGGAACTCCCTGCCCTAGAGAACTATGTATATGTAAATGTCTTATGTTTTAAAATTGATAAATTCTACTAACAGAAGGTTCTGAATTTTAATAAAGTTGCTATAAGCCTGGAATCAAATGGTACATTTGTCTGCTTGTATGCAATGCAGATGGAAACTGTTGAAATGGGTACCAAGATGACAGTACAAATCTGAGAACTTTTGGGAAAGACAGCTAAAGCAGACACTACTGCCAACTCATGACCCAGATTGTTCAAAAGCAATCTGATTCTGAGCTTTCTACACCGTATTTCAGCTGTAAAGCCCATATTTCAGACAATACCCCTACAAAAGTTCGGGTCCCTATAAGTCAGACTTCATACAACACTAGGATGATCCTCGCATTATTAGAAGCAGACATGGAAGAGCTCTGGGCAGAGAGAGAGGAGAAACTGGTGTTTGAGGAGCTTGAGGGGTGGAGGAGAGGTACAGGCAGAGGGGCTCCAGGAATAAACTTCCTATCATACTACCTCATGTATGTAGCCCGCACTGCTGCTGAACTATGGGCTTTTCATCACAAATAACCTCTTAGTGATACATATGAAACTACAGCGCTTCCAAACTACACTATAGAAATAAGTTCACATTACTCTAAAGGCTACTCTTTACAGCTCCCTGCTCCGGTCAAGCCTGCAGACAGAATTTGTCTCCCATGCCTCATGTTTTGTCATAGCTCAGTCATGTGCAGGGAAATGCATTTAGTTTTCACTATCCAGGACAGGTTTTAAAGCAGTGCTACTGCTCAGGCAGGGAAGAGAAGAATGACTGTACGTGTCACACTGCAGAAGAGAGCCAAGGCAGGCTACTGAGCTACTATTATACCAAATGATGCTTCCTGACTGAAGTTCTCAATATCAACTATACTAGAAAAAAACAGTGGTTGATACAAACTTCGTAAAAAGAGCTTTACAGGTAGAAAGAAATGTTGACATAAAATGTTTCTGGAGTACAGCAACATATAAAATGGTGTTCATTCATTTTGAATTGCTGATCTCAAGGCTCCAGTCCCTCATATTATAGACAACAGAAACATTTCTGTTCCCTGCAGCATCATCAGACTATCAGCAGACTACAAAACCAGGTCACCTATAAAAGCATTTCTATGGTAAACTCTCTCAGATGAATACTATCAGCTTCCACTGATCAGATTCATCCAGGACCAGAACTAACTAACATGCTTTTGGCAGGCAGAATTTTAATGCTTTTGCTCATACTCAGTAGTATTTTATCCTGGAATTAATCTTGCTGAAGTGAATATAATTTTTTTTAATTAGGACTATCACAACCTGAGGATATATTAATTAACCATCACACTGCAATTAATACTTTATATCTGCTCATCCTCATCACAGTTCATATCATGATTAGTAATCATTTTTAAGAGTAAATCCTCCTACTTAATAATTACATCTTGTTTGTTATACCTTGCAAGTTCTGTAATGATCCTTGTGCACTTCTTGGGAGTTAATTACTGTGGGTGATCAGTGCTCTCAACATGTCTTCCTACTCAGCTATTAAACCCCAGAGACTTCCCTGTCTTTCCCTGACCGTTCCTTACACCAGTCCTTGCTGTGGTACCAGTTGTGTGCTATTTTTGTCATCTCTAGCTGCATATAATCTGGAAACTTATCTGTAATGGCACTGCTCCTGCCTAGCACTTTTCCCTGAGGCTCTTAAAATGCTTTAGAAAGAATGGAAAATATGATTAAACCTCCTTTTCACACACACAAAAGGAATGTGCAAAATTAAGAACTTAGAGTGCTGCTGTTGTGTTGGAGGCAAGTAAGAACCATGGTGTCGGTCTCTCCAACATCCTTAGGAAACATCTCACTTAGAAAAACAGAAAGTTAAGCTCCAAGCTACATTTGAAGATCTGGGGCTGTGGTTGCACTGATGTCCTCCCTGCAGCTGACTGCCCACCATTTCTTCTCCAAGTGAGGTAGGGAGCAGGGGGCTCACAGTGACTGCTTCCCTTCCTGCTCATCCTCTGCTAGATTGCAGCCTGTACTACCAACACTGATCTCCTTTGACTCCTTTTGTAAAATCTGTGCACCAGCTTGCCAGAGAGGACCCTCCAAATACACGACAGACCAGGGAGCAGCAGTATTTTAAACAAGTCAACCACTTCTCTTCTGTGACACACCACTCACACGGTTTCCACATGGACTGAAGAGATGCCCTGTGCTCAGACCTCTAGCACAGGGGAAAGGCAGCAGAGAGCACAGCGGACAAATCCTCAACCTGTTTAAGTATTCCCAGCTTCACTAACTTCAACAGAGGCAGACAGGACAACTACCCACTCCTTTGGGCATGCTGGCTTTTTGCATAAAAAAAAAGTACATTTCCTGGGCAATGACTATGTCACTGCAGCTGTATTCTTTTCACTGCTTATTTTTAATTAAAGAACTAGAAAGTTAAGGGTTTAAAATGACAATCACCTTTCCCAGAAACTGCTACTACAACATTCAACCCCTAACCCCCAGTGATGAGCTGGGATATTCCTTGATTGGTTTTCTACATGCCTTCTGACTATCATTTGTGCTTTGCTTTACACTGTAGTTTTTCTTCAGCTGATCACCTATTTTAACAGCTTGCTCAAGACCCTACATGGGAAGAAGAAAAGGGAGAAGAACTGGGTACCTGTGTACAAAGATTAATGCATTGGTGATGCTATTTTGCCAAATATTGGCACATGCCATGACAAGTAAGGCGTGTTAATTCAGCAAATACAAATATTTTTTTCTCTCATCCCTGTAGAACAATGCATTTCATGGATTTTGAAAATCTAAACATTATATTTTAAACTGAAAATTAATTGATTACTTAACCCACACTATTGGGATGTGCTACAGAAGACACTAATTCAGATTTTATGGCAAGCCTGTACAGGAGAAGGTGAGGGGAAAGGCAGTGGGGTAACTAATAGGAAAGGAGTGACAGGGAGTTGTTTCAGGAGAAAGTGCCATGAGGTAGCTGCCATTAAGTCCTCAATATGTCACAGTCTTTTAGTAGCTCACTTGCTCCCTTGAGTTATCATCTTTGCTCTGTGGCATGTGTGCTAGGGTAAGTTTCTCATCACCTTGGGGGAACAGAAGCTTAAAAGATGTGCCATAAACCTGGAAGCCCCAAGCTATACTCTTCCACTAGCAAATTTTTAGGAATCAACAAATTAACAACATCTGAAATTACTACACTGCAAGTGGTTTTCAGTGTAATTCACAATAAGAATGTTAACCAGGCATTTGATTTGCATAGCATGATAAAACTGTACGTAGCATGTTCTATGATCAGCACCACCACTGCTGCACACCCTGGCGAGCCCATCCGCTCTCTAGGTACGTCTAAGGTCCTTCCTGCAGCAAGACCTGACCTGTTCAGAGGGCACCCTTCTGACGCCCCTTACTGCCTAACACAGAGCCTCTGCACTTACTGAGAGCTATTTCTGTCTGCCATTTCCCGCCCCATGCTATCCACCCACAACTTGTGTTCTGGTTAGGAGATCTGAGAAAGAAACAGACCTGCCAGGAGAACTTCTACAGAGGCTGCCCAGAAAATTTAAAAAATATTCTGCTGTCATGTCACGGTTTACCTTCCCCACTGTTTCACCTCACAGTTAAAGGCAGCAGAGAGGGGAAAGTATGCGACAAAGAGCTAATGTCAAAGCAGAGAAGAAAACCTACTTCACCTGATCCTTCTCACCCTCTAGCCTGGAAAACACTAAAACAATTGAGCCAGAAGGTTCAGACTGACAAAAACTAGTGTTTCCATATTTGTACAATCTGCCTGTGTGTTTCTACATTCACAACAGGGAAGTACTGAAAAAAACCCTAGTCTGCTAATAATTTCACCATCATTAGAAATAGGATACATCAGCCCATAAAAGAATCCATTTAGAAAATGACCGGAGCAAACCATGGACACACTTTCCAGCACCTGATCTCCAGGGTGTTGGAGAAGCCTGTTGTATGAAACAGTAACTATGCTCAAACCAAGAATGGGATTGCAATTTAAATGAACCTTCTAACTTTGTGAGGTTCATCTGAGGCATTTCCAGAGCATGTGCTGGTTCAAGGCCTGCTTATTGCCCCAGCTCTGTTCCTTTAAAGAGACCGCAGAAAATGGAGCTGCACGGCAAGCCCTTTCCTGGAGAA